TCTGACAGAGCTGAATAACACAAGGCAAGAATTCCACAATGCAATCACAAGTATTAAGAGCAGAATAAACCAAGCTGAAGAAAGAATCTCAGAACTTGATGCTGGTTCTCTGAAATAAGACAGTCAGACACACACACACACACAAAGAAATGAACAAAGCCTCCAAGAAGTATGGGTCATGTAAAGAGGCCAAATCTACAAGTAATTGGCATCCCTGAAAGGGAGGGGAAGAAAGAAAATAACTTGGAAAATATATTCCAGAATATTGTCCATGAAAATATCCCCAAACTTGCTAGAGAGGACAACAGTCAAATTCAGTAAATACAGAGAAGTCCTGCAAGATTCTACACAAGAAGATAATCACCAAGATACATAATCATTATATTTTCCAAGGTCAAAATAAAAGAATGTTAAAGGCAGCTAGAAAGAAAAGGTGAGTCATCTATAAAGGGATCCCCATCAGGCTGACAGCAGACCTCTCCACTGGTACCCTACAAGCCAGAACAGATTGGGATTTTATCTTCAACATTCTTAAAGAAAATAATCTTCAACCAAGAATTTCATATCCAGCCACACTAAGCTCCTAAGTGAAGGAATAATACAATCCTTATCAGATAAGCAAATGTTAAGGAACTTCATTACCACCGGACCTGCCTTACAAGATCTTGAAAGCAGCAGTAAATATAGAGAGGAAAAACTGCTACCAGCTAATACAAAAACACAGTTAAACACAGAGACCAGTGTCACTATAAAGCAACCACACAAACAAGTAAAAATAATAACCAGCTGATGGCGCAATGACAGAATCAAATGCACACATATCAATATTAACCTTGAATGTAAATGGGCTAAATCCCCCACTAAAAAGGCACAGAGTGGCAAGTGGGATTAAAAAGCAAGACCCAATGGTATGCTGTCTTCAACAGACCCATCTCACATGTAAGACACACATAGGCTCAAAATAAAGGGAAGGAGAAACTTCCATGGCTGCTTTGTTACTGCTGTTGCCAAATGTCACAGACTGAAAGAACCAAAATTGTAAAAATTTCTATTCTAACCAATTAATGTACGAACTACATGAAATACCAATCAAAATCACAACATACTTGCTTTTGGAAACTAAAAGTTGGTTGTGAAATTAATACAGAAAAGAGCAAAGTATATCCAAGATATTCTGCCCTTACAAATATCAATGTATTCAAAGCTATATAAGTGACATAAGCAAGATAGCGAGTCAGGAATCTCAACCCTCATCACCCACAGAAAACAACTGGACAGCTATCTGTGCATGAAAATTGCTCTAGGAAGGCTCTGGAGTCCAGTTAAGAAGCTGCAGCAACACAGTGAAGACAAGAGAGTGAACATGTTAGTCAGAATTCTCCAGAGAGACAAAACCAGTAGGATACATCAGAGGAGTTCCTGAACTCCTTAAAATTGTTGGGAAAATATTTTGTATATATACATCTTTTTTGATGAAAGGTTTACATCATTTGGATTCACAAGAAGGACCATGAGATAACCACTGTGATAGCTCTAGGCTGTTCTCTTGTAGGCTTTTTCTTTTCACATGTCTATGTGTTATCTACACAGAGTTTGGTTCTTTTGTTTTAATATTTGTGTGTATGTTGAGTATTCTTTGTTCTTTTAAACAAAGATAAGACTAGACTTTCTCTGAATATGCTATTTTGCAACTAGTTTTTTTTCCCACTAAAGATGGCCTTCCAGATCAGCACATAAGTATAAACATTTTTAATGTTTGCATAGTGTCCCTGCTTAATATTACATAGAGTAACTGGGTCATAATTATTTAATCAGTACTCAAAAACATAGTATGAGTGCAAAAAATGTTCACTAATTTGGACAGAAAGATTGTGTTATGGCAAGTTAGGAGAAACAGGATATGTGAAAGTGAGGATTTCAGAGGAACCTCTACAGGTCACCACCTTAGGGAAAAAAAGACAAAATAAGGATTGGTAAACTGTAGAATATTTAAATTTGTTACCACCAAAGCTAAAAGTACAATTTGTGCAGAAGGAGTTACTGATGCAGCTAAGGCTATCCTACATCTATGCTCCAGCTTCCAGGACTCCTCCCTATGCCAGAGATATTAAAATAACAGAGAAAACAACAACAACCTACAAATAAAGGAAGCAAAATAAATCATAATACAAGGCAAGGCCACATGTAGTCTAGCTAAGCCCATCTTGAGGGAAGGTCCAGGGAAAAATTTGGAAAAAATTATAGGACAGGCAACAGATAAAGGTATGAAGTCATAAAAGAAAGAATTTCAGCAACATATTAAAGAGCAATACTGGTAACGGCCCTGGGTGTGCCTGCCTACCAGGCACCCAATCTTGCAAGATCGACATTAAAAGTCTTGCTTCCACTGTTCTTTGTGTCTCCAAGTCCATTCTTTGACTTTCAATGGGTGAATGTGTTTCTTGCAATCACTTTCTAAAGAAGGCATAAATGAATATTGCCGCCATTCTCGAACCTCTGTCCCTATGATCCACCTCTAGCCTACACGCCTTGTTCTGACCAAACAGAAAAGAAGGTTGAACTCCAGGGAATAAAAAAGCATGGTGGACTTCCATTCCAAGATGGCTGAATAGGAACAGCTCTGGTCTGCAGCTCCCAGCGTGACTGATGCACAAGATGGGTGATTTCTGCATTTCCAACTGAGGTACCTGGTTCATCTCATTGGGAATGGTTAGACAGTGGGTGCAGCCCATGGAGGGTGAGCCAACGCAGGGCAGGGCATCACCTTGCCTGGGAAGTGCAAGGGGTTGGGGGATTTCCCTTTCCTAGCCAAGGGAAGCCATGACCGACTGTACCTGGAAAAATGGGAAACTCCCACTTAAATACTGCACTTTTCCAATGGTCTTAGCAAACGGCACATCAGGAGATTACATCCCGCACCTGACTCGGTGGGTCCATGCCCAAGAAGCCTTGCTCACTCTAGTGCAGCAGTCTGAGATTGACCTGCGAGGCAGCAGCCTGGCTGGAGGAGGGGCGTCCATCATTGCTGAGGCTTGAGTAGGTAAACAAAGCAGCTGGGGAAGCTCAAACTGGGTGGAGCTGACCACAGCTCACCCAGGCCAGCTGCCTGTGTTGACTCCACCTTGGGGGCAGGGCATAGCTGAACAAAAGGCAGCAATTTCAGCAAAGTCTCAATTTCAGGTGGAGAACCTGAGGCCAGAGAAACTAAGGGATTGTCCCAAGATAGCATAGCTTGCTGGTAATACAGCTTGATAACAATAAGTTAAATACATGTACATATTTGTATTTCTGTGGTATCACTTATAATATCTCCTTTTTCATTTCTAATTGTCTTTATTTGGGTCTTCTGTCTTCTTTTCTTGGTTAGTCTCACTAACGGTTTATCAATTTTTGTTTATTATTTTTAAAACCAAATTTTTGTTTCATTTATCCTTTATATTGTTTTGGGGTCGCTATTTCATTTAGTTCTGCTATAATTGTTGTTATTTCTTTATTTCTGCTAATTTTGAATTTGATTTGATCTTGCTTTTCCAGTTCCTTATTTAGAATTGTTATTTTCTCTTGCTGAGTTGATTTTTTTGTTTCATTTATCCTTTATATTGTTTTTGGTCTCTATTTCATTTAGTTCTGCTATAATCATTGTTGTTTCTTTATTTCTGCTAATTTTGAATTTGGTTTGATCTTGCTTTTCTAGTCCCTTATTTAGAATTGTTATTTTCCCTTGCTGAGTTGATACCTTTATCGTTATATAATTGCCTTCTTTATCCTTTTTATTGTTTTTAATTTAAAGCCTGTTTTATCTAATTATAGCTAATTCTGCTTGCTCTTGGTTTCCGTTTGTGTGAAATATCTGTTTCCACTGCTTTACTTTCAGTCTGTATGTGTCTTTACAGATAAGATGAGTTTCTTGTAGACAGCTTATGGTTAAGTCATGTTTTTTTAACCCATCTTACCAATGTATACCTTTTAAATGTGGTGTTTAGTTCTTTTATGTTCAAGGTTAGTATTTATAGGTGAGGTTTTGTTCCTGTCATCTTATTAATTGTTGTCTAGTTATTTTATACATTCTCTTTTCTCTATTTTTTTCACTGTGCGTTTCTGGTTTTGTGGAATTCCGTAGTGTTGTCATTTGATTCCTTTCACTCCCTCCTTTGTATTATTGCATTAACAATGAGTTTTATGTTTGTGTGTTTTCATGATGGTAAATACCATTCTTTTGCTTTCAAGTTTAGGAATCCTTCATCATTTCTTCTGTTTCCTATCTAGTCGTGGCAAATTCTACCAGCATTTGCTTGTCTGGGAAAGAGCATTTCTCCTGAAGCTTAATTCTTGCTGTATATAGAATTCTTGGCTACTAGTTTGCTTTTTTTCTTTCAACACTTGGAATATGTCATTTCACTACCTTCTTACTGGCAAAGTTTCTGCTGATAAGTCTGCTGTTAATTCTGAAGTAGTTTCCTTTGTAGATGACTAGATGTTTTTCTCTTGCCAATTTTAGAATTTGTTCATTCATTTGATTTTAGACAGTCTAATAATAATATGCTGTGGCAAACTCATTTAGGTGTTGACTTTTCTGGGGATCACTGAGCCTCTTTTGTTCAGATGTCTAAATTTCTTGATAGACTTGGGAGGTTTTTATACATTGTTTCATTAATAGGTTTCCTGACCTTTTTTCCTCAGGAATACCAATAATTTATTATTTCAGTCATTTTAGATAGTCTCAAAAGTCTTGAAGGCTTTGTTTATTATTTTTTATTTTTGTCTTACTGTATTATATTTTTAAAACCTATCTTCAAGTTCTGATTCTTCCTTCTGTTTAATCTAGTCTGTTGTTGAAGCTTTCAAATGTATTCTTGCAATAAAGTTTTCAGTTCCAGGAAGTAAAGTTTGTACTTCTTCTCTCTACCTAGCTACTCTTGTGACATATAAAGAGTCACTTACATATTCTTATTTCTATCTTCCTTACAGAAATAGCAATATCTACCCAAATGTTGTTCTTACTAATGTAAATGTGTTGCCTCATTTATCACCCTCTTGAGGGCCTCTTTGATTTCCTTGTTCCTCAAACTATAGATCAGAGGGTTTAACATGGGGATAAGGACAACAGAGAATACTGAGAGCACCTTGTCCTGCTTCATGGAGTGGCTAGAGCTAGGATGCATGTATACAGAAATGGTTGTGCCATAGAAGAGAGCCACAGCAGCCAGGTGGGAGGCACAGGTATTGAAGGCCTTGGCACGACCTTTGGTTGATGGTATTTTCAGCATGGAAGCTACAGTGAAACCGTAGGACAAAAGGATAACAAACAAAGAGCCCAACCCAACAAAAGTAGCTACCAGAAAAAGAATCATTTGGCTGATAAAGGGGTTGGAGCGAGACAAGGAAATAATCTGAAATATGTTACAGAAGAAATCTTGAATGACATTTGGCCCACAGTAGTAGAGATTAAAGCAAGGGACTGTATGAACTAAGCTACTAAGGAATCCACCCCGATAGATTCCAGCTACCATTTTCCAACAGATACCAGGGACTATGATTGCTGAGTACTGCAGGAGGCTGCCAATGGGCACACGTCTGTCACAGGCCATGAAGACCAAGAGGCAGCACTCAGCCAGACTCATCCAGGCCCCAAAAAAATACTGAGTGGCACAGGCAAGGAAGGAAATTGTCTTCTTGTCTTTTAAGAAGTCTGAAAGCATCCTTGGGCTGATGGTAGAAGAATAGCAGATGTCTATAAATGACAGGAAACTGAGAAAAAAGTACATGGGTGTGTGCAGGTGAGAGTCTATTCTGATTAGGATGATAAGACCCATGTTCCAAATCAGGGTCACATGGTAAATCACCAGGAAGACTGGAAAGAGGATGAGCTGCAGCTCTTTTTCATCTGAGAGTCCCAGCAGAACAAACATGGCCACAGAGGTGTGGTTTCCACTCACTTACATGGACCATCTGCTGAGAAAGAGGAATGAGAAGGAAATGGGTTTATTCCCAGAAAAGAAAAAGAAACACTATTTTTTTCAGTCATGAAGCTGGCTAAATATAAAACCTTGAATCATCAATGTTGAGTTAATTTTTGTCTTTCATATATACAATCATGAAACTTTACTGAAAAATTTTTAGATAACTATCATGCTGTCTTTGGGGACAAAGACAGTAAATAAGCATAATTAGTATGATACCACCTAAAATGTCTTAATTTCTGTGTTCCTGTTTTACAAATACATGAGACTTTGAAGATATGCTAAATTAAGAAAATTATGTCATTTCTCTATACAGTTGACCCTTGAACAACATGGATTTGAACTATGTAGCTCCACTTATACATGAATTTCTTTCCAATAAGTACAGTGGAAAATATTTTAGAGTTCTGCAACAATTTGAAAAAACTTCACAAATAAACTACATAACCTAGAAATATAAAAAATATTAAGACAAAGTTAGGTATGTCACAACCACATAAAATATATACAGATATCAGTCTATTTTATCATTTGTTATCATAAAATATACAAAGATCTATTATAAAAAGTTAATTTTTAAAAATGTATAATGAACAGAAATTTATTGACTCACAGTTCTGGAGGCTAGGAATTCTAAGATCAAGGGGCTAACATCTGTCAAGGGCCTTCTTGCTGTGTCATACCATGACAGAAGAGTAAAGAGAGGGCAAGAAAGAGAGTAAAAGAGGGCCAAGTTCCCCCTTTTATAATGAACTCTCTCCCTTGATAATGGCATTAATCCATTCTCTCCACCTTCATGGCCTAATCACGTTTCATTGGGCCTCATCTCCTAATACTGCTGTAAAAAGTTAAAATTTATCAAAACTTACATACACAGACACTTAACCATTCATGGTGCCATTCACAAATGAGAGAAATATAAACAAACATAAAGATTCAGTATTAAATCATAACTGTATATAATTAACTGTGGTACGTACTGTACTGCTGTAATAATTTTGAAACTACCTCCTGTTGCTATTGCAGTGAGCTCAAGTGTTGAAAGTATCTGCTTAAAGTGCTTTGTGAGGCTAGTTATCCTCACATGGGAACTTCATCTCTCCAAAAAAATGTGTATAGCAGTAAAAAGTTATCTCACACGGTTCTCAGATATTTTTCATTGTGCTTAGTACAGTATCATAAACCTTGAATAACACCATGGAAGCAATACAAAGTGCTACTAGTGATGCTGGAAGTGCTCTCAAGAAGCGGAAAAATAGTCACGACATCACAAGAAAAAATTGAATTCACAGATAGGTCTGCAGCTTCAATTGCCTGCCATTATAAGATAAATGAATCCAGCACAAGGACCATTGTAAACAAAAGTAAAGGAAATTCATGAAGCTATCACTGCAGCTACTCCGGGGGGTAGAAAACCCTTGTACTTTTTGTGAAATACCTTTTTATCTCATACTGAAAATGTAACTTTTATGTGGGTACAGGATTGCTATACAGAAGGCATACCTACAGACTCTAATATGATTCCAGAAAAAGTGAAGTCATTATATGGCAGCTTAAAGCCAAAGAAAAGTGAAGAATCTAAAGCTGGAGAATTTAATGCTAGTAAAGAATGACTGGATAATTTTCAAAAGAGGTTTGGCTTTTAAAGTGTCAAGATAACAGGAAAAGCAACTTCTGCTGACCAAGAGAAGCAGATGAATTTCCAGACACCATTAAGAAAAAAGTCATTAAACAGAAAAGATACCTGCCTGAAGAGATTTTTGATGAAGACAAAAGTGCCCTATTCTGGGGGGCTGGAAAATGCCACAAAGGACATTTATTAATAAAGAAGAGAAGCACGTATCAGGAGAGGCTAACTTGACTGTTTTGTGCAAATGCAGTTCAGTTTACGATCAGGACTGCCCTTATCTATAAAGCTGCTAACTCCCGAGCCTTGAAGGGAAAAGATAAACACCAGCTGCCAGTCTTTCAGTTGTACAACAAGAAGGTGTGGATAATGAGAATGCTTTTTCTGGACTAGTTCCAGAATGGATGCTTTGTGAAGTCAGGAAGTACCTTGCCAGTAAGGGACTTCCTTTAAAAAAAAATATTTTGATATTGGACAATGCCCCTGACAACCCAGAACCCCATGAGTTCAACACCAACGGCATCAAAGTGGTCAACTTGCACTCAAAAACAATGTCTCTAATTGAGCCTCTAGATCAGGGGGTCACAGTGACCTTTAAGTCTCATTACACACGATACTCTATGAAAAGATTGTCAACACTGTAGAATAGAGCCCTAACAGAGAGGACATTATGAAAGTCTGGAAGAATTACATCATTGAAGATGCCATCGTTGTTACAGAAAAATACTGGAAGCCATCCAGTACCAACCAATACATTCCTGCTAGAGAAAACGGTGTCCAGCCATTGTGCTTTACTTCACAGGATTTATGACAGAGCCAACCAAGAAAATCATGAAAGAAACTGTGGACATCTAATGATAGTGAGGGGGGTTTCAAGATATGAATCTCAGAGAAATTCAAAAGCTAATGAACACAAACATCAGAGGAATTAACAAAAAACAGCTTGATGGAGATGAGTGCTTCCAGACAAGTGCCAGATAATGAAGAAGAAGACATAGAAGAAGCATTGCCAGAAGACGTACTGACATTAGACAATCGGGGAGAAGGATTCCAATTACTCAAGACTGCTTTTGACTTCCTTTATGACATGGACCCTTCTATGATACGAGCCTTAAACTAAAGCAAATGGTATAGGGTTTGACACCATATAGAAACATTTTTAGAGAAATGAAAAGGGGAAAAAGTCAGGCAGAAATTATGATTTATTTTCATAAAGTTACACTGAGTGAGCCTGCCACTCCTGTCTCCCCCTCCATTTCCTCCTCCTCTTCTACTTCTGCTACCCCTGAGACAGCAAGACCAATCTCTCCTCTTACTCTTCCTTCTCAGCCTACACAAGTCAGTATTTCTAAAACCCCCTATGCAACATCAAGACAATGGAGATAAAGGTCATTATGATGATCTATTTCATCATAGTAAATACTTTATTTTGAATGAATAGTAAGTACTTTATTTTCCTTATTACATTCTTTCCTCTAGCTTACTTTGTTGTAAAAATACAGTACAAAATACATGTAATATTTTAAAATGTGTTAATTGACTATTTATATTCTTGGTAAGGCTTCCAGTTAACAGTAGGCTATTATAATACAAGTTTTGTGGCAATCTAAAGTCATATGCAAATTTTTGACTCCACAGGGAGTCAGTGCCCCTAGCCCTTGCATTTCTCAAAGATGAACTGTATGGTGAAATAGGATGACTCTGCTCAAGCATGACTCCACTATTCACCCAGTGCTTCAAGAAGACCTTGGATCATCCTGGGCCTCATATGTAGAATGAAGTACTTTTTTTGCCAGTTTTTAAGTTTCTTTTACATATATATATATACACACACTTTAAGTTCTAGGGTACATGAGCACAACGTGCAGGTTTGTTACATATGTATACATGTGCCATGTTGGTGTGCTGCACCCATTAACTTGTCATTTACATTAGGTATATCTCCTAACGCTGTCCCTCCCCCCTCCCCCCACCCCACAATAGGCCCCAGTGTGTTATGTTCCCATTCCTGTATCCAAGTGTTCTCATTGTTCAATTCCCACCTATGAGTCAGAACATGCGGTGTTTGGTTTTCTGTCCTTATGGTAGTTTGCTCAGAATGATGGTTTCCAGCTTCATCCATGTCCCTACAAAGGACATGAACTCATCCTTTTTGATAGCTGCATAGTATTCCATGGTGTATGTGTGCCACATTTTCTTAATCCAGTGTATCACTGATGGACATTTGGGTTGGTTCCAAGTCTTTGCTATTGTGAATAGTGCTGCAATAAACATATGTGTGCATGTGTCTCTATAGCAGCATGATTTATAATCCTTTGGGTATATATCCAGTAATGGGATGGCTGGGTCAAATAGTATTTCTAGTTCTAGATCCTTGAGGAAGGATCACTGTCTTCCACAATGGTTGAACTAGTTTACAGTCCCACCAACAGTGTAAAAGTGTTCTTATTTCTCCACATCCTCTCCAGCACCAGTTGTTTCCTAATATTTTAATGATCGCCATTCTAACTGGTGTGAGATGATGTCTCATTATGGTTTTGATTTGCATTTCTCTGATGGCCAGTGATGATGAGCATTTTTTCATGTGTCTCTTGGCTGCATAAATGTCTTCTTTTGAGAAGCATCTGTTCATATTCTTTGCCCACTTTTTGATGGGGTTGTTTGTTTTTTTCTTGTAAACTTGAGTTCTTTGTAGATCCTGAATATTTAGGCCTTTGTCAGATGAATAGATTACAAAAATTTTCTCCCATTCTGTAGGTTACCTGTTCACTCTGATGGTAGTTTCTTTTGCTGTGCAGAAGCTCTTTAGTTTAGTTAGATCTCATTTGTCAATTTTGGCTTCTATTGCCATTGCTTTTGGTGTTTTAGACATGAAGTCCTTGCCCATGCCTATGTCCTGAATGGTATTGTCTAGGTTTTCTTCTGGGTTTTTATGGTTTTAGGTCTAACGTTTAAGTCTTTGATCCATCTTGAATTAATTTTTGTATAAGGAGTAAGGAAGGTATCCAGTTTCAGCTTTCTACATATGGCTAGGCAGTTTTCCCAGTACCATTTATTAAATAAGGAATTCTTTCTCCATTTCTTGTTTTTGTCAAGTTTGTCAAAGATCAGATGGTTGTAGATGTGTGGTATTATTTCTGAAGGCTCTGTTCTGTTCCATTGGTTCATATCTCTGTTTTGGTACCAGTACCATTCTGCTTTGGTTACTGTAGCCTTGTAGTATAGTTTGAAGTCAGGTAGCATGATGCCTCCAGCTCTGTTCTTTTGGCTTAGGATTGTCTTGGCAATGCAGGCTCTTTTCCATATGAATTTTAAGTAGTTTTTTCCCAATTTCTGTGAAAGAAACCGCATTGCGTAGCTTCATGGGGATGGCAGAATCTATAAATTACCTTGGGAGTATCGGCCATTATATTGATTCTTCCTATCCATGAGCATGGTATGTTCTTCCATTTGTGTGTGTCCTCTTATATTTCGTTGAGCAGTGGTTCGTAGTTCTTCTTAAAGAGGTCTTTTACATCCTTGTAAATTGGATTCCTAGGTATTTTATTCTCTTTGAAGCAATTGTGAATGGGAGTTCACTCATGATTTGGCTCTCTGTTTGTCAGTTATTGGTGTATAAGAATGCTTGTGATTTTTGCACATTAATTTTGTATCCTGAGACTCTGCTGAGGTTGCTTATCAACTTAAGGAGATTTGGGGCAGAGACAATGGGGTTTTCTAAATATACAATCATGTCATCTGCAAACAGGGACAATTTGACTTCCTCTTTTCCTAATTGAATACCCTTTATTTCTTT